TTGTGGAACTCCTGCTGCCATCTTTTGACAACGGATGAAAACGACAGTCACGTGACTGAGGATGTGCCTGGGATTGGGATACCAAAGAACACCAAAAACAAATTGTTTGTTTGGATAAAATCAGTTTTAATGAATGAATGAATGCCTTACAGAGAATATGTGGATATATAGAGAGAAGAAATGGATCATGTGTGCTCTGAGGAAAAGAAGGATGATGAGGAGGTGGTGAGATCAGTAAGAGAAATAGTGGGTGTGTTTGTGACTGTCTGAAATAGAAGAAGTTGAAGATAGAAAACAAGCTGGTAGAGGAGTGTTTGTGTTGTTGGTGGTGGTGGTGGCTCAACAGAGGAGTAAAAGAAAAGGAAGAAAAGAAAAAGGAGGATTCGAAAAATGGGATGATGAGAAGAANGGTGTGTTTGTGACTGTCTGAAATAGAAGAAGTTGAAGATAGAAAACAAGCTGGTAGAGGAGTGTTTGTGTTGTTGGTGGTGGTGGTGGCTCAACAGAGGAGTAAAAGAAAAGGAAGAAAAGAAAAAAGAAGATTCGAAAAATGGGATGATGAGAAGAAGAGGAGGAGGAGGAGGAGAAGAGGATGATGGGAAGCTAAGTGTAGTCCAGGAGTGTATAAAGTGACAAAAAAGAAATGGTAATACTCGGATTCAGATGACCAGATGAAGTGAGGTGCAGGTCAGCAGCAGCAGCAGTGGGCTGACCAGTTGGTTTGTTGTGTGCAGTGATGATGACGATGATGATGCAATGCTGACTAGCAGTACCCAAATTGGGTGGTAGCAAAAGGGAAGTTCAGAGGAGGAGGAGGAGGTGGTCACTTGTCATTGTTGTCCTCCTCCATTGGCTCCTCCACCTCGACGGTCGTCGATTCGGGGCTAGAAAGAAGATGAAATGTTAGCGATGCTTTCTAAACGGTGTCAACAAGTTCTCCCCATACCTCTGCACGTGTTTCATGGTGAGCGAAGCCATGGCGGTGACCGTCTCACACTCCTCGCGTTCCTTCCTCGCCGCCTCGATGGCGTCACAGCCGACCAGGTGGGCGTACCGACGGAGAATCGACCAGTGAGGAGCTGCAGAAAACAGAAGAAAGTTGATCAGCAAATGTTGACAAATTCCAGGTCGATGGACACTTACAGTGAATGGCAATGACGCGATTGAGCAGGTCGACGGCGACGGGCACCGGCGCCCGACTCGCCTCCTCGCTGCTCACCGGGGCGATCGGGTCGCCGAGGAGGGCGCTGACGCAGGCCTGGGCAGAGTCGCAGATCGAAGTCAGCTCGTACCTGAGAATGTAAACATTCAAAACAGTTCAAAACTGCAAAACATTCATCCTAAACCAAAGCTGAACTTACCCTCCTTCAAGCGCCATCACCAGCCGCCCACCAGCGAGCGTCATCAGCTGCTGCGTCATGTACCCAAAGCAGGCCGGCGAGACCATGTACCCGCCCAGCGGAGGCGGGTGCCCACGGGCGCCGTCAAAGCCACAGGCGACCAGGACAATCTCCGGGTCGTACTGGCGGGCAATGGGCATGACCACAGTACGAAAGGCGGCCAGGTACTCCGCGTCGCCCATCGGCGGACTGAGCGCCCCGCTCCAGCCAATGTTCACGTTGAAGCCAGTGCCAGCCCCCGCACCCGTCTCCGCCAGGTCGCCCGTGCCCGGGAAGAACTGGCCCTCGTCGTGTCGGTGCAGGCTGAGGTAGAGGACGGCCGGGTCCTCGTAGAAGGCCTGCTGGAGGCCGTTGCCGTGGTGGACGTCCCAGTCGACGATGAGAATCCGCTTCAGGCCGAGCTTCGACTGCAGCTGCTTCGCGGCGATGGCCAGCGAGTTGAAGTAGCAGAAGCCCATCGGCTGCTGGTACTCCGCGTGGGAGCCAGGTGGGCGAACCACGGCAAAGCCGTTCTAAAAAAGGGAAAAGGTAAGTAAAGGCTGAAGCCATTTTCGAGAGAAAGCAAACTCTCTCTCACCTTGACCTCCTTCAGTGCCACCCTGGTGGCCAGCTCAATGACGCAACCGGCGGCCATTCGAGCCGCCCCCGAGGTGTGCATCTCATTCCAGGTGGTGTCAGAGTCGATGCCGATGCCGCCGCAGGGCAGCATCACAAAGCTCTTGATGGGCAGGTCGGCTACAGGAACAAAAGATAAGTTAGGAATGCATCGAAAGAGAACAAAAGAGTGGACACATACTGAGACGGGCCGGGTCAATCTTGTGGCGGTTGTGCGGACTGGAGCCAAAGAGCAGCGTGTACGACTCACTGTGACAGGTCTGAATCTCCTCCAGGGTCGCCTTGCGAGATCGAAGTCGCTGAAGAGGGGAGGAGGCATGGCGGGAGAGAAAGGTAAACAGACCAGGTTAGATTCCCGGAAAAAAGTAGAACAGTTAGGCCTGTCAGGTTAGCGGAAAAAAACGAACTATCGAGAGCTGTTCGCAAACGACATCGTCGTCGATCGTGCCGCCATCTACCGACCCTAGCGGCGAAGCTGTAGTTCACAAAGTCGCCAAGTGCGACTGGTAGCGCTAAATCCGCGTAACGTACTCTCCGAGCGAATCACCGCATTTTGGCTAGTCTGGCAAGCTTACTACTACGACAACGCTATGCTCTCATAGACTTCTTATCAGGGGTGCCAGCAGAGAAGATATAT